GTGAACCGCCTCAGGGACAGCACAGCCCAGAGAGGTCTCGGGCAGCTGCGTGTCAGCTGTTCTGGGCTAATTTGGGCCTCCAGTGACGGGAGTGCTGGGAAATCTGAGTGGAGGGAGTTCTGGGATATCCAAACAGGGGACTTCTCCTGGCTTGAGTAAAGCCGGGCCTGGTAGGCGGATCTCAGGCACACAGTCCAGGAGTGGCCCTCAGCCGCCCACCTCTCCATGAGTCACGGTGCGAGGTGGAAATACAGAGTGTCTCCTGTCTCCTGGGGTACAGTTACCCAGCATGAGTTGTCTGCTTTTGGTACATGGCTATTTCTGCTTACCTCCCCAGCTTGGAGCCCCTCCTTAAAGATCACCTGTAGTCCCCAGTCCTGGGCCTACCAGTTCCTCCCCCAAGTACTACCTACCACTCCTGTTAATGTGGGGAACAGTGGGCTGAGTTTGCCCTGGGGGTCTGCCCCTCCCCTTTCTGAGCCCTTTTATATGCTTTTTAATTAAACCTGTTAACCGGGGAGTTCCCTTTTTAATTACGCAACCTGTAATGGGTGCGTACTCTTTTACTAGGACGTGTCAGTACGTCACGCCCGAAGGACGTAGTAATTTCATATTATTACTATTTTTTCATTTATACTTAATTAAAATAAATGATATATATATTTTTTCATTTATTTATATATAAAGCACAAAGGAAAATACAAAATTACAAAAAAATAGAAAAGAATACCAACAAAAAATGAAAACATCGAATTTAAAAATTATAAATTTTACAAACAATTATAAAGATTACAAAAAATATATACCGTCCCTCTCAGGGCGCAACATATATTTCCAGGATGTATTCATTCGTCCTACCCGTTCCCGATATTGTTTCCGTTTGATGTATTTATACGTCCCGCTCGGTTAACAGGTTAACATCGGCCCCTCTTTAGACATAAAGGATTGGCTAACTTTTTCTGTAAAAGGCCAAATAGGCTGGAGTGAGGGAGGCAGGTGTAAGATCTCTGTAACAACCCTATGGAAGGGCACTGTTGTAGCCTGAACAAGATGCAGTAAGGCAGAGAGCAGTTGAGGTGCAGTCACTCGTCTGCTGGAACCACCAGTGGCTGCCCATTGCCTGTAGATTCAAGTTCAGATTCAAGTTCAGATGCAGCCTGGATTCAAAGTCCTCCTCAGTCCAGCTCTTTCCAGTCTCTCCTTCCATGAAACTGCCCTTCTCCAGCTCTGGCAGTGTCTGAATGCTCTCTCCGGAGCATTCTCACCAGTGTGTCTGCTATTCCTGCTGCTTTCCCCCTTTGAAATGTCCACCATAGTCCTTGTTCTTTTATTTTTTATTTTTTATATTTCTAAGTAGCTCTCCTTCCTGCAGATGGCTTGAAATTCCACCACAGGGAGTACTCTCAGGTCTTGGGTGATTAGGATATTTGTCAACTAAAAGAAGTCCAAATGTGTCCTTAGCATTGGCAGCTTGATGTGAGCAGGATCAGCTTAGAGAGGGTCATCGGTGGCCAGGCAAGTTATTCGTGTCTGTAGCCACCCGGTGGGGGGCAGAGGTACTGGCCATGGCTCCATGCCTCCCACCCAGGCTGGCCAGCTGCTCAGAATTTATCAGCTGTTTACTTTGTGTTGTCGATTATGGAAGTTTTTTTTTTTTTTTTTTTTAAATAGGGTAAATAAATTACAAAGATCCACACGTAAGAGTGAGGCAAGTAGCTTAAATGAAGGCAAGTAGCTTAAATCAACTAAGATTATACCATTAACCACACAGCTGGGTAAAACACGGTGCCTTTCTGCCTAAGCCTGAACTTCATTCTATCCCATTTTATAGCCTCAGATGCCTACATTCCCCCCCCCCCGGTGTCTGATAGATAATTTTCAATGCCTTTTTTTTTTTTTTTTTTTTTTTACTTTTATGTGTGATTTTTGCCTCTTTCATTTTGCATCTTTAATTATGATACATTCTTAGTCTTGTTGATATTTCACCAGAATTTCTAAATTTAAATTCATCTTCTTGCCCATTCAAATCAGAGCAAATATTTTTTTTTTCATTTTCTTTTCTAGAAAGAAATTATTGGCTTTCCCCCTCTTCATTCTCTCTTTTAAATTATTTTAGTCTAAGGTAGGGGTGTCGAACTCAATCACAGAAGGGGCCAAAATCTAAAATCCAGCCTAAATCGAGGGCCGAATGGTTTACTGAACAGTCATAAACTGTCATTGTGATGGAAACGCAGCGGAGTGCAGTGATGACAACGCGGTGCGGGCCACATTTCAAGGCCTGGCGGGACGTTTTTGGCCCGCGGGCCTTGTGTTTGACACATGTGGTCTAAGGGTTTGATTTTTCTCTTTTCTCTAAACATTCTCTTTTGCAAGGTTTTTTGTTTTTTTTTTTTGGTCTGCCTTAGCTTGTTTTCCTTCCAGGTTGCACCAAGGAATCAGACCAGTGCTTCTCAAACGTGGGTGTGCTTCAGTCTCCCCTGGAGGGCTATTTACAACCAACCACTCAACCATGGCCCCAGGAGTCTGATTCCCTAGGTTTAGGGTTGGGCCTAGAAACTGGCTTTTCTAAGGAGTTCCGGTGATCTGGGGGACCAATGAATTTGTTTCACAAATAACCACCCTCTTCCCTTTGGTGCTAGGACATGTTGCAGACCAATAGCTCTATTCTGCATTGATGGTGGTGTTGGCATAAGAAATGCCCAGGCCTGTAGAGATTTTTTATGAGTTTTGTTTTTAGTCAAATTGACTATAGTTGCTTGGAAGCAAAATTGCAACAGGTTGAGAAAGTGCTTCAGAAAATGGCAGTTTATTTCATATGTTAGCATCAAAGGAGGAGCCATAATGGGGTTGATGGTAGATTAAGGGGGTGAGAGAGAGTAAAGTAGGGAAATCTGGGATTGCATGAAAAGCAAAATGGAGAGACATATACTTATGTTACTTTGGTGGGTACAGGATAGTTACATTTACAACACACAGAGGTGGAATTCAGGGAGCAAGATGACAATGAGGGGTTCCATGGTCTCCCAGAGGTGGGTGTGCCCTGAGGGGGTCTGGGGAAGACCATTACTCCTATTTCAAAGGCATGTTATCTTAGTTACAAGAAGACAATGCACAGGCTCACTTGAGGTAAAGATTAACCTTTGTCAAGGAAGCTACAGGCCTAGGATGTGACTGCCTACCATTACCTGCTTTTAGTTAGGAATTTTTATGATCAGACCATCTTATGTAGTTCCTTTCCGAGGCCGGCATGCAGGCCTCCCCTGAGCTTGTCAGGTTTAGTATGTGGCCTCTTTTTAGTATGGTGGCATCTAGATCTCAAAACTCCAGCATTCCCATGAAAAATCCTTTCCTGGATTTACCTTTTGAAAACTTTTCCCAGAAGAGACGGAAGACCAGAGGATTTTCCCAGTCTTTGCAGTTGCTTTGCTCATGAGGATGTGGTTGTGAACAGAATCCTTGAGAATACGATTCCCTGGGTTTCTGGATGGCTGCGCATCCTTCTCTGTTGTTGGGAGATGTCTGAAGTTTGTCTGATTTAAGTCCATTGAAAGAAACCCAGATTTTTCTCGCTTCCTACCACAGAGAAGTATTTAGGGTTAGGACTTTTCTTTCTCTTTGGAGGTTACATTTGTGACAGTTTTGATAACTAATGTCATGAAGTTGATTGCTGATCACTAATTCTTCCTGAAACTCAATAAGTCCTCAGGATAATGGCTTGTATACAGTGCCTCACTTAATTTTAGTGTCACTTTTTTTTTAGTAAAAGTTTGTTGTCATGTCAAAGCAGTGCTCTTAGGGGCATCTTCACAGAGAGAACCTACTTCCTGGCCACCATGCCCATGCCTGCGCCATTCTCTCCTCCCTTCCCTGCCTGGAGCATTCATGAGCTCCAAGGCTGGTTTCTGTGGGGCCCGCTGTGATTTGCTCCTAGAAAGTTGCATCTCTCCTCAGTGTGCCCACCTCATGGTGCCACTCATTTTATTTTTGTGTTCCCAGTGCCTAGCCTGGTGCCTGGCACATGGCTGAGGTGGCAGCCAGCAATGTATTGGGCACTTAACTATGTTCTGGGCACTTATTAATCCTTACAGCATTCCTGTGGGGTTTGTGTACGCTTGTCCCCACTTAGAGATTAGGAAACGGAAGTTTGGGGCGAGTTAAAAGCATTTGTTCCTGATGGGGCTAGAATACAGACAAGGTCTGGCAGCTTCCAGACTCTGAGCTGTAGGCACTCGCACCTACTGGGTGAGCTGTGAACCTACAGGTGGCCGTGAGGAGGGCAGCGCCTGCTGGTGGAAGCACGCAGTGGGGAAGTGTTTGATGAGAGAATGACCTGGAGCCTCCCAGGGCTGGCTTAGCCTGGGAGGACTTGGGGGGCAATCTGAGTGCACAACAGGGAAGACGTACTTTGTCTCTTTATTTTATTTTTTGTTAATCCTTACCCAAGGATATTTTTTCCATTCTTTTTTTTTTTTTTTTAGAGAGAGTGGAAGGGATGGGGAGAGACATAGAGAGAGAAACATGGATTGGTTGCCTCCCGCAGGCGCCTGAATCAGGGCTGGGGAGCCTGCATCTGAGATATATGCCCTTGACTAGAAATGAATCTGAGACCCTTCAGTCCTCGGGCTGAGATGCTCTAACCACTGAGCAGGACTGGCTAGAGCCAGAGGATATTTTTCCCATTGATTTTTAGGGAGTGGAAGGGAGGGAGGAAGAGAGGGGAAGAAAGAGAGAGAGAGAGAAAAACATTGATGTGAGAGAGACATATCGGGATTAAACCTGCAACCTAGGTACGTGCCCTTGACCAGGATTCGAACCTGTGACCCTTTGGTGAATGGGCTGACATTCTAACCACTGAGCACACCAGCCAGGGCCAGACTTTGTCTCTTTAGTACTCTGTGGCCAGCTCCTGGCACCAGAAAAAAGCTGCTCTCTGGAAACAGTGGTTAGCACTCCAGTCCTGATGCCCTGTTCTCTTTCTCCCTGCACCCCAACCCCTGCAGCCTCGGCCTTCATCATCGCCATGCTCCTGGCCAGCCTCAACAGCTGCTGCAACCCCTGGATCTACATGCTCTTCACCGGCCACCTCTTCCACGAGCTCATGCAGCGCGTCCTCTGCTGCTCCTCCGGCTTCCGGAGGGGCTCTCGGCCCGGGGACACCAGCGTGAGCAAGAAGAGCAACTCCTCCACCTTTGTCCTGAGCCGGCACAGCTCCAGCCAGAGGAGCTCCTCGCAGCTCTCCTCCCTGTGACCAGCCTGGCTGACTCCTCTTCCCATCAGGGTGTGTGACAGGACATCTCCCCTTGGCGGCTGAGGCCGTGTGTGTATAGGTACCTTTCAGTTTGTACACCTCCACACCTCGGGGCAGCTTGGGTGGGGTGGGATCCTGACACGGGAGGGGAAGTGGTCTGCATGGGAGAAGGTGACAAGGGTGACTTGGATCTCTCCTGGGTCCCCACAGGTACTTCTGCTACCCCCGACCCCACTGCTGCCTGGCTGCTTGGTGGGTTGTTTATGTTTCCCAGACCTGTACTTTCACTCCAGTATCTCTTTTCTCCTTTATTCTGTGATCTAAGTGTAGGATTGGTGGCCAATTATATGTGGAAGCCTAGTGTCCTGAGTTTGGAGTAAGGAGTGGGAGCAGGACCCCAAATGGGGTGGTGGTGCTCATAGCCGCCTGAGCCCAGAGAGTGTTTGCCTGACCCAGCATCCTCTTGTCAGAGGATGGCTCTGGGAATGGGAGATTCCCCTGGGAGGCAGTTTGGCACAAACAGCCCATTCAAACTTGGATTTAAAATGTTTAACAAGCTAATATTTAAGTAGCAACTGAGAAAGAAAGAAGTAAAAGGCACCCAAATTGGAAAATAAGTAAATCTCTTTGTAGCTGACACGATGTTTTATACATAGAAAATTCTAAGGAATTTGTACACATACACACACCCATGAAAACTAATTAATGAGTTCAGCAAAATTTCAGAGTACAAGGTCATTATATAAAAATCAATTGTATTTCTTATCTCTCTCCCTCTCTCCCCCCCCCCTTCTCTCTCCTGAGTACAGTGAATTTTATTGATGGTTCATGACAAGGTAGGGATCCCTAAGCCCCTCCCCTTCTTCATGGGGTCTGGGATGGAAACTGTGGAGGCCAGGAGATTCTCAGTGTTTGGGGGAGAATTTTGGGGCAAGGACTCCCCAGCAGCTGAGGGCCTGTCTTCCTGTTGCTAAGGGCGGTGGTCCAGGGGGCTCTGACTCCCTGGAGGCCATGTGGGCCATAGGTCCCCCTCCTGTTCTATTGGCAAATTCATTGTCATAGCAGGAAACAAGCTTGATGAAGTGGTCATTGAGGGCAATGCCAGCCCAGCATCGAAGATGGAGGAGTGAGCATCACTGTTAAAGTCACAGGAGGCAACTTGGTCCGCAGTGTAGCCCAGGCTTCCTTGAGATGCCCTCTGATGCCTGCTTCACTACCTGCTTGATGTCATCGTATTTCTTTTTACTAGCAATGAACAATATGCCAATAAAATTAAGAAATAATTAAATTTATAATACTATCAGAAAGAATACAAAATAGAAATAAATTCAATGAAAGAAATATAGGACTTATACCCTGGAAACTACAGAATATCATTGAAAGAAATCGAAGAAGACTTAAATTGAGAGACATCCTTTGTCCTGGGTCTTAACAACACTATCCAAATTGGTCTACAGATTTAATGTTATTCCTTTTAAAACCCTAGCTGGCTTCTTTACATAACCTGATCCTAAAATTCATATGGAAATGCTAAGAATCCCAAATTACTAAACCTTGAAAAAGAAGAGCAAAATTGGATCCATACTTCCTGCTTTCAAAATGTACTAGAAAGCTACAGTAATCAGAACAATCTGGTCCTGACATAATGACAGACATATTGACCAATGGAGTAGAATAGAGAATACAGATATAAATACTTACATTTACGGCCAGTAGATTTTTGGCAATTGTGACAAGAGAATTTAATAGGAATGATAGTCTTTTCAAAAAACAGTGCTGGGACAACTGGCTATCCACATGCAATTGAATGAAGTTGGATCCCTACCTCACACTCTATATAAATTAACTCAAAATGCATCAAAGACCTAAATGTAAGAGCTAAATCTTCAAAACTCCTAGAAGAAACATAGGCATCAATCTTCATGACCTTGGATTAGGCAATGGTTTTTTAGATATGACACTCAAAGCACGAGGAAAGGAAAATTAGATAAACTGGACTTCATAAAAATGGGCACAAAATGTTTATGCTTCAAAGGACACTATCAAGAAAGTGAGAAAACTTGCTTGCGGAATGAAAGGAAATATTTGCAAATAATATACTTGTATCCATAACACATCAAGAACTCTTACAACCTAATAATAAGAAAACAACTAAGCCATTGTTAAATATAGGCAAAACATGTATTTGAATTAACAAGTGAATAGACATTTTTATATCTTCTCCAAAGAAAATAATATCGATATAACTGGCCAGTAAGTGCATGAAAGGATGCTCAGAATTATTCGTTAAGGAAATGCAAATCAAAACCACAGCAAAATACCACTTCACACCCACTAAGATGGCTATAATCAAAGAGATGGGCAATAACAGGTGTTGGCAAGGATGTAAAGAAATTGGAATGCTTGTACATTGCTTGTGTTAATGATGTAAAATAGTGCATCCACTTTGGAAAACAATTTGGCAATTGCTCAAAAGTTAAAAACACCAGAAATGCCACTCCTAAATATTTTCTTAAGAGAAATTAAAGCATATACACCAAAACTGGTACATAAATGTTGATGGCACCATAATTTATAATAGTCAAAAATGGAAATAATCCAAATATCTATCAACTGATGAATGGTTAAGTAAAATTTATATCTCTATAATGACATGTTATTCAGAGAAAAAAGAAATGAAGTACTGATACATACTATAATATGGATGAACCTTGGAAACATTACATGAAATGATAGAAGCCATTGGAAAAAGCCACACACTATATAATTCCATTTATGTGAAATTTCCAGAAGAGGCACATCTATAGAGACGGATAATGGGAGAGTGGTGGCCAGGAGCCGGACGCTGGGGTGAACGGGGAGTGACTGCTAATAGATACAAGGTTCCTTTTTCTGGGCAATGAATATGTTCTGGGATTAGTAGTGATGGTGCACAATTTTAAGAATATTCTAAAAACCACTGAATCAAACACTTTAAAAAATAAAAAAATATAAACAAAAATTTTCACCAGCTCAATTCAGCTTGAAGGATGAATTCCTTGGAATCTCTTATGTCCCAGTACTTCTGTTTCTCTCTGTGACTCACCGTTTCAGGGAATCCCATGGTTTCCATACTTAGTTTTTCTGCAAGAGCTGGTGTTTCCAGTTTGGCCAAAGGACCAGCAGAGATGAGACGCCCAGCCTGCTCTAGCAGGGCCGCGGGAGGCCTTGTGGCTGCGGGTGTTATATTTTATGTCACACACAAGACCACTCACAAGGGTCTCACTTGGTAAACATGTTCTCCAGTGTTCTCTCCTCCTTGAGGCAGAACATAACGGTGTCCAAAAAATACCTACAAGTTGTTAAAGACATTATAGATCAGAGGTTTCTGACTGAGACTGGCCAGCTCAGTGGCACTCTGGGGCACTGTACATTTTTGAAATTTCCACACCTGCTTTTGGGCTCACTGTGGCACAGTAAGAGCATTTTTAAAAGGCTACTCTCTGCATACACACCTTCCTCTTCCCCCTTCACACTGCAGTCTACACACATGCACAGGGAGGAGGGAGGCAGGCCCTGACATGCCACTGTTCAAGCCTCAGCATTTAGCCCTGGTCTGCAGTACAAACTGGAGACTGAAGACTGAGCATCACCTTTGGACGCAGAGGCATTGCTCAGGGTTGATGCGGCTGCTCTGAGTGTCAGCTTGCTCTGTGGGAAGCAAACCGGATGCTGGTGCAGTCTTGGTGCCCATGGACAGGACCCCAGGGGCATTGGCTGCACATGCAGCAAGGGTGGGGTCTGTTGGCATTTGAGCCTCTCTGCTCTCCAGCCAGAGATGCCCCCATCTCCGCTGTTCCCATGGAAGTTGTCATCCCAGCAGCCTACAAAGCCACAGGGGACCAAGGAGACTGACTCAGTGTATTATCCTGACTGGGGCACAGCCTTCCTGGGAACCCTGCAGTTGCAAGGTTCTTGGTCACCAGAACCAACTGGAACACTTTCCTGGTTCTGTGCAAGCTCTGGATGGTAGCTTGGGTCTCATGTGGCACAGGTGTCTGTGTTTTGTAGCAAATCAGTGACATTTGATTTTAGCAGCACCCCTGGCCATGCACGTCCCCTTCGAGAATATTTTCACTGTTTCTTAGCATTTCCTCCAAAAGCCTGGATGAATTGAAGGATGAATTCCTTGGAAATGAAAGAGCATGGGGTCCAGAATGCTACCTGGAGCTCAGTCATTTCCTTCCTCCAGTTTATAGTAAGCCCCGTATGTGGCTGGAGGTGCCAGTAGATTGGAGCACACAGATTTTCTTCCGGAATGTGTCATTGTTCTGAAGGTCAAACGTGGGATGTGAATACTTGAAGACTCTGAGCCTTATTTCTTTTGGCCCCAGAAAAAAAAAAAAAATCACACAGTTTGGTGTCCTCTTGGGATGGGTCTGTGGATTGAGACTGCAGGAAGCTGCCGTTTTAAATGAAGATCCTGGTTTCAGAGTGCTTAACCTTTTTGAATTTTATTGCAGTGAAATATCACTTACTGCAAAATGTGACTTCCTTGATTTCGTTCTGCCGTGGTGGCGCTCGTGTACCGTGCCAAATGGTGAGTGGTGTGGTCAGCAGTGAGGTGTCTGCTTCGTCCGCTGCTTTATAAAAGGAGCATCTAATAAACTTGTTTTTTTCATACATTGTTTTGTCCTCTTTCTCACTCCCAAGAACAATGGCCACATCTGGTGCTCGCATGCTTGAATTCCCTTGCGGAGCTGCATGCTGACCTGCCTGATAATTATAGAGCTGCATCTGGGCTGTGGCGGGCGGGTGGGTCCTGGTCCCCTCGTCCTTGGGCACAGTCCTCTCATGAGTCAGAATTCTCAGAAAACATTCCACATCCCTGAAGCACATGTATGGTATGACGTAGCCACCTCCACTGTGCGCCTCAGTCTAACAGGATTCTAGATTGCCACCTCGAAGGGGCCCTAACAAGTGTTTCCCGAAGTGGGATATAGGGGCCACCTGTGACATCACACATGGGTCTGTGTTCATTCTTGTCACCACTACTGAGGCACGCGCTGGAGCTGGGCCCCCGCCTTCATTTTAACAAGAGGCCCTCATTCCCTGGTGCAGAGTGTAAGAGGGAGTGGATCTCCACCCCCCTCCCCATTCGCAGCAGCCCACACTCCCCGGGGTGCAGTTCCGTGTCCTGCTTTTCAAAGGATTCCTGGAAGGAACAGAACTGAGACACACGTGCACCTAAGGGGGTGTCCTTTCTCCAGTCCCATGAACTTCACAGGTAGTTGAGCACCTGCCATACTCTGCCCCCAGCAAAGGAGAGCGAACTTGAAAAATTGGAGTCCTAGTCAAATCAGGTTTCGGCAAATGCCAAGATGGTGACAATTCTCTGCGTAACCCAAGATTCCAAGTGTGAAACTGTGGCCTAATGATTTCAAGGGGTGTTGGAAGAGCAGGCCCCTGGAGGAGGATGCCAGGAATGCTGGCTCCAGTATTTTTCAGCAGGAGGAGCCTGGCTTGCCATGTCCACGGGAGGCGCAGAGTGGATGCTGGCTACTGTGCACCTTTCGGCAAGTCTGCTGACCTCTTCGGGCTGTCACTTCCTCATTTGGAAAAAACTAAGGGATTGATTATTAAGTCTTTCAGAGCAAAATATACTGATACCTGCAGCTTATTGAAACATGCACAGAGAAAGGTGAGATTGGTGGACGGTTAGAGATGTGACAGAACAGGAGCAGTGAAATGTTCGTGGTGGAGCCTACGTTGTGGATGTAGTTGTTCACCACAAACCCTTTCAGCTTATCCTCTGTGTTTGACAATTTCAAAAGATACTAGAAAAAACAAAAATGGGTAAAATTTTAGAGTGGAAATGGACATTAGAGATCACTTTGCAGATGACAGAATTGAGGCCAGAGAAGGCAACAGGAGGAGAGGCAGGACTAGAAGGAGGCTGCCTGCGCCCTGCCTCCCAGTTTGCGCACGGTCCGTCCCACACGCTGCCCCACTGGCCCCTGGTTCTTGGCCAGGCACCAATGCGGTGATGCCTTTGAAAACTTGGAAAGTGCGGTGGAATCTTAATTTTATGAGACTTAAGTGAGTTTTGCATAAAATAGTCAAATAGGATTGGGGGATACGGGACTTCTGCAGGACTTCTCAGAGCTTTTAATGTGTCAGTGTCTGTTGAAAATCTTTTAGGAGAAATACATAGCATTTCCCAAGCAAGTTTAATGACAGAAGCCATCCCCTCCTCTTTCTGAGGGCTGAGTTTTAGATAACACAGTTGGGAAAAGCAGCCGTAAAGAATATAAGATCGCTGGGGATATTTTTTTTGGGGGGGGATAGGGGGGTTGAGGAGGTGGTGAGGCATCCTTTCTATTGCTGCTTATTTACGCTGTGAGTCCACACACGCACACCTTAGACCTTATGCCCCCATCACACCTCTCAGGGCTGAAGGTGTGCAGGTGCCAACTGACAGTGCCAGGGGCTCAGTGTCTGGGAGCCACAGGGAAGGTTCCGAGAGGGGTGATCCCAGGCCCTCACCTGGGTGGTGCCAGAGAGGGTACCCCCACCCCTCCCAGCCCAGGGCCATTTTCTTCTGTTGTTGACCACTAGCTGGCCTAAGGGCAACAGAAGTCAGTGTGGACTGATCCAAGGGTCACCGGGGAGCAGATGCCCGGCTACCAAGGAGAATCCCAATAGAAACCAAACGCTTTCCTGCTTGCTGGATTTGGACAAGAGAAAGGGCCAGCCAGCTTGTTCCCTGTCTGTTCCTCAGGGCAGTGAAGTCTACTTCAGGAGCTGATCAGAACACACACGCACAAAACACAGCCTTCCCCGAATGCAGCCGGAACCCTTTATTGAGCCACCCCCGGTGCCCACAGTCCCTGGTGGCTTCCTGGGTGGCGCACGTGGGCAGGTCCACCCTGGTGGGAACAGAGTGCTGGCTTATGCTGTTACAGTACACGTGGTCGCAAAGACTTGCAGTAGCTGCCTCTTAGCAAACGATCTTCCCGCGTGCCCGGTCCCGGGGGCACCGTGGAGGGGCGGGGGCAGAAGGGAAGGCCACTGTGGGGCTCTCTTTCCCTCTGATTTCTCTAGACTCAGTGCTCCTGTCCCGGGGGGAAATAGCAGTCCTTACAGAGCAAGAGCTCCTCAGCAGCCCCTGGAGCAGTTCTGTGGGGCCAGCCTGGCCTGACCCCCCTGCCCGGCCGCTCCCCTCACCTCACCCGGCTTTACACTTCCTTCCGCAGCAACACCTTGATGCTGCTGCACATCTGGCCCAGGGCGGCGAAGAGCGGGTTGCAGAAGGTGCGGATG